CGCCGTCGTCTTCTGGTGGAACGGACCTTCGAATCTCTTCACCCAACACTTCTACTCGAAATGGAAGTAAGCCCAACAATAAGGGGATATAGCCGCCGATTCGGCAAATTATGCCATCTTATCAGAAACTCAGTGCATGCGTGAATACGGGCGAAACGACCTACATACATTAAGAAACAAAATAGAGGGGACTGTGCACCAATTGCCTTTGTCTGTGAGAGGACGGCAAGAGAAAGCTTTACTGTTACCGAGACTGTTTATGAGTTTGCGATTTCAACTGACCCAAAAGCGGCGAATACACACAACGAAAATGCAATCACACTCTAGAACGAGCATCAACATGGCAAGATCAAATCCCAATAGATGTAACGAGTCAGTTGTTGGGCCGCATCCACTCCGACTTTACTCATCGCCAAGCAGGTTGGCAGTAGTACAAGGTATTCAGCACGATATGCTCTAAAACCTACTCATTGCCACCAACTAACTTGCTTTGTCCTTCTTCCACCTGAACGCGGCCAATGTTTTCGAGTGTTCTTCATAGTCAAAAAAGGCTCTAGAGTAGCAGACACACGGTTGGTCCTTTGCTCGGCAAAGCTTCATTTGTTCAATTTATTACTTTATTTGCTAGGCACATACTACTACTATTGTGAGGAGTAGGTGATATGATTTTGCCAATATTTTATTCAGTCTGTTTTGAGCCAGTCTTTCGGGTCAAAAGCAAAATGTACAATAGGAAAACAATCCGGTATGGGGCATCATCAGAGCTAATCTCATCATCCTGAGGGATTGCTTTCGCTTTTTTCTTACATTCAATGGCTGCTCAATGGCTGTATTGCTTAATGCTTATTTGAGCAGCCGCTTTAGTCCACTTCACGGCACGAGCACTCTTCAGTGGCTCTTTTGTTGTTAATATTGCAGCGATGTTACGCTTGCTCTGTATGTCCGCGCCTCCTTCAGTCGACTGTAGCATGGGCCGGTTGTGCAAATCACTGAGCAACTTGTGGCCGAATACCCGTCCGGGCAGGAAAGGGGGCTTTTTCCGTGTCACGAAAAAGTTAATCTCTGACGGTGAGACAACTAATACGATAATCCCTCTGCTGGCGCTAGGCGGACAGAGCTGAGTCGATGCGGGCGGACAACTATGCGCGCATGTAGCGCGTTGTCGCTTTCAATAGCCTTTGTCGTCTCCATCGTCCGACGTAGTGATACGTGCAATTACAGGCCACCCGGGGCGGTGGGCCACCGCTGATGCTAATGAGGATTGGGGGAAAGTAGCAATTATATCTGCCTCTGGTGGCGTCTGAAAGAGTTAGCATTCACTTCTCGCATTGTTCGGTCACTTTCTATCACAATCGGTCGTCTGCCTCGTTTCGGTCATCTCTAACTTCCAAACCCCCTCCCCCACCTCCCTCCCAGTCGGACAAGCGTGGGCATGAGGCGTCCAGTTGTCGCCACTACCGGTCGGCCGCCCGCCCCCTTGTAACCGCACTCGGACATTGAGTGTTTGCCGAAGAGGACGCTAAAGAGGTAATCTGATCCATCTTAGGACCTAATAACAGGTGACTGGTGAGCTGGCCTGCTAGGCGTCGATCAGGTCGGTGCATCTGCTTATCGTCTTGCACAGGCCTGCAAACACATTGTGTCAATGTGTATGTGTGTGTATGTGTTATGGAGTGACGAGAGAGGAGTGGCCAGAGACATCGGAAACAGCGCAAGGATAATAATCGAGGCGGCAATTGAGACACCTCAGAGAGATGAAGAAGTCTGTAAGCCAAACGGATGACGCCAGTAGACATCCGTAAAATGTGGTTGCCAGCCCTGTTTAGGCAGAATTGCATACGCACAAACAAGACGTACTTGTGGCCTGCAACACTCATGTGTCCGGGTGCAGACGGTCAGTCGAGGAGGGTGGACGTGAAAGCTGGTCCATACCTGCCCTCGAATAGCTCGTCTTGATGGTCGAGGCTGCGGACCGTCAGTTAACAGACAGAAGAGAGTTGACTACTACTTTGTGATTTACATGCATTTTACCAGAACGGCGAAGTCACCGCGGATCCAGACGATGCTGTA